CTAGAAGAACAAAACTCAACGACAAAGGTGAAAAATGCATTTTTCTTGGTTATGGTGATAGATCAATGGGGTACAAGTTGTACAATCCCATCACTTAGAAAAGTGATCATGAGTACAGATGTCATCTTTGAAGAAGAGGAAATGTGGGATTGGAAGCAAAAAGAAGCCCTTAAGGATATTGAACTTATGCTTGAAGAAGAAGAGGCTGAAAATCCAAATGAAGTGAAAGAGAGCCACAAACTCCTCCACAAGGGTACCCCTCATCTTATAGAGGTGATGCCTCATCACCATCATCATCATCATCGGAGGCTAGTTCAAGTGAACGTCCAAGGAAGACAAGAAGCTTGCGAGAGATTTATGAAGTTGCTAAAAAATGTTTTCTTTGAATATTCAACATGATGCTATAAAATGCTTGAATGCTATTGTCAAAGACAAGGCTTGGTTATGACACTTGAGGTTTGCGCATCTCAACTTTGGTGGCTTGAAGCTTTTATCAAGTAAGAACATGGTGAGAGGTTTGCCAAATATTGATCATCCGAATGAAGTTTGTGAAGGGTGTATTCTTGGTAAGCATCATAGATCGAGCTTTGCAAAACAAGTGAAGTGGAGAGCATCAAAGCCCTTGGAGCTTGTGAACACCGATGTATGTGGACCTTTGAAGCCTATCTCAAATGGGAATAATAGGTACTTCCTCACTTTTATTGATGACTATAGCCGAAAGATGTGGGTATACTTTCTAAAGAGGAAGTCCAAGGTGTTTGATGTTTTCAAGGAGTTCAAGACACTAGTTGAGAAGCAAAGTGGCTACTACATCAGGTGTTGAGATCCGATCAAGGCGATGAGTATACATCTGATGTTTTTGAAAATTATTGCAAAGAGCATGGAATTATGCATCAAGTAACACCATCATATATGCCACAATTGAATGGAGTCGCTGAGAGGAAGAATAGAACAATCTTGGATATGGCTAGAAGCATGTTGAAAGGGAAATGTGTGCCTAGAGAGTTTTGGGCTGAAGTCGTTGCATGTGCTATTTACTTGTTGAATAGATATCTAATAAAAAGTGTTAACTTGAAGACACCAGAAGAGGCTTGGAGTTCATTCAAGCGAAGTCATCTAAGAGTATTTGGGTGCATTGCATACGCTAAAATTCAGGAAGCTAGAAGAACAAAACTCAACGACAAAGGTGAAAAATGCATTTTTCTTGGTTATGGTGATAGATCAATGGGGTACAAGTTGTACAATCCCATCACTTAGAAAAGTGATCATGAGTACAGATGTCATCTTTGAAGAAGAGGAAATGTGGGATTGGAAGCAAAAAGAAGCCCTTAAGGATATTGAACTTATGCTTGAAGAAGAAGAGGCTGAAAATCCAAATGAAGTGAAAGAGAGCCACAAACTCCTCCACAAGGGTACCCCTCATCTTATAGAGGTGATGCCTCATCACCATCATCATCATCATCGGAGGCTAGTTCAAGTGAACGTCCAAGGAAGACAAGAAGCTTGCGAGAGATTTATGAAGTTGCTAAAATTGATAAAGACAACCTGAACTTGTTTTGTTTTTTCATGGATTGTGATCCATTTAGCTATGAAGAAGCCATCTAAGAAGAGAAATGAAAGAAAGCTATGAACGAAGAAATCAAGGCAATTGAGAAAAATGACACATGGGTGCTCACTAGCTTACCATAAGGCCACAAAGCAATTGGTGTAAAATGGGTCTATAAAACAAAGAGGAATGCAAGTGGTGAAGTGCAAAGATGCAGGGCAAGATTGGTTGCCAAAGGCTACAAGCAAAGACTCGGAATTGATTATGGTAAAATATTTGCTCCCGTGGCTCGTTTAGAGACTATTTGATTGATGATTTCTCTTGCCGCCCATCATAAATGGAGTATTTATCAACTTGATGTGAAATTAGCATTTTTAAATGGCTTTCTTGAAGAAGAAATTTATGTTGAACAACCCTTGGGGTATGTCAAAGTTGGGCATGAAGATAAGGTGTATAAGTTGAAAAAAAGCTCCTTATAGGTTAAAACAAGCACCACTCGCATGGAATGCTAGAATTGACAAGTATTTTTATGAGAATGGCTTTGATAAATGTCTTTATGAGCATGCTTTGTATAAGAAGACGGATGCCAATGTAAATGTATTACTTGTGTGCCTTTATGTTGATGATTTGATCTTCACGGGGAACAATCCTAAGACGTTCAAGGAATTCAAGATGAGTATGATTCGGGAGTTTGAAATAACAAATATTGTTTTGATGCCTCAATTTCTTGGCATTGAAGTTGTGCAAAGGGAAGATGGAATTTTCATTTCTCAAAGTGGCTATGCAAAGGAGATACTCAAAAGATTTGGGATAGAGTTTTGTAATCCGGTAAACATTCCAGTAGAGAGTGGGTTAGAGCTAAGGAGGAGCACCAATGGTGGCAATGTTGATCCAACTTACTTTAAAAGTTTGGTTGGAAGTCTCCGGTACCTTATTTGCACTAGACCAGACATACTTTATGGAGTTGGGCTGATTAGTAGATACATGGAAGCACCGGATCAATCACATCTCAATGTGGCAAAGAGGATTCTTCGTTATATCAAAGGTACACTCAATGATGGTTTACTTTATTCATGGACTAATGATTTCACACTCGTTGGATACTCCGATAGTGATTGGGGAAGAGATTTGGATGAAAGAAAGAGTACTTTAGGTTTTTCTTTCTACTTGGGAAATGCTGCATTCACTTGGTCATCCAAAAAGCAAGCAATTGTCACTTTGTCTACTTGTGAAGCAGCGTATGCAGCTGCTAGTGTCTACTTGTGATGCTATATGGTTAAGGAACCTATTGAAGTACTTGGGATTTTCACAAGAGAACTCTACAGAGATTTTTGTTGATAATAGATCGGCAATAGCCTTGGTAAAGAATCCGATGTATCATGAAAAGAGTAAGCATATTGACACTCGTTATCATTTTAGTCGGGAACATGTGAAGCAAAAGGAAGTGGAGCTAGTTCCTTGCAAGTCTTATGATCAAATTGCTGACATTTTCATAAAACCTTTGAAGCATGATGTATTCAATAGATTGAAGATGATTCTTGGTATGAAAACTTTTGAAAATTGGGTTTAAGGGGGAATGTTAGATATTGTAAACCCATTTTGGGCCTTTTTTGTTTGGTTACATGTGTATTGGGCCTTTTTTTTTTGTAAAATTCTTATACTTTTGTACTTGTAAAGTAAAATGTGCTTCTAGAACATTTTAGTTTTTAAACAGGAAAAACAGAGACAAAAAAAAAAAAACACTCAGCAAGGAGGAGAAAAACGTGAGAAAAGAGAAAGGGTTTTTTTTTTTTGGTTGCTCTGTACAAGGTAGAGGATAAAGCTTTGTAAAGCTGATTTTTAGTGAAAAAGCGCAGATTTTTGATGCCCAAATAAGTGTTTACTGATGCTTTTGTTTTTTTGATTATTTGTGCTGAAAGTTGTTTGCTTGAAGCTGAAAATCTGTGCAGAAAATTCAGATTGTTGATAGCTATGTTTGTGCTCTGTTTTTGGTCCATCTGTGACTGTTTTTTAATGATATTGTGCATGTAATTAATTCCCAAATATCCCGAACAAAATCAAGAAAACATATCACCATCTGTATTGATTCTTTAACTATTTGATCCGGACATTAAATTGAGAAAACACCATCTGTATTGATTCCTCAACCATCAAAATTTGCTTTCAAGCAAATCCCTCTTAACCATCAAACTGAGGATTGGTTCGGTGCTTGACTTAGCATTTTGCGACTTTGAAAAAAACTTTTGTTGGGGTGAGGGAGGCTCGAACTCTCGACCTCATAAAAAGTCAGACAATAAGCTATGAGAGCTACAAGCTAGCCAACTGCGCCACCACCCCAGTTGAAATTGATGTGCCTGGTTATCAAAATATTGAGATGTGGTTATGTAGCATGTAAAAGTTTTTCCCCAAATTCATTGCATCGCTTTTTCCTAATCTTTGTCTACCAATAACCAATATTTTGATTAGATAAGCTACTATAATTGTAATAAAATTAAAAAAGAAAAGAAAAGAAAAGGGGGCAGTACCCAAATCTTGTTGGGATTTCATTTGAAGGCTCGGATAGTGTTGAGTTGAGATATTCATAATTTGACTGTGACTTTGATAATAATAATAAAAAAATGAAGTTACATAATTTATTCTGCTTTAGGGTTGTTTTGCATATCACATTTGGATATTTTCTTGTTTTTATGTTTTTATTTGTTCCACTAATATGTTGCTCTCTTGTTACACTGCTACACTACGGTGCTTAAATTATAATTGTTGTTTAGGCATTAGTATTTTGGAAATCACGTCATTTATAAAATTTGTTTTGTTTCTTTTGCTAAAATTATAAACTTTTATGCCAATCACTGCTATTGCCTTTTCTGATATAGGAAATTGCTAAAATCCGTAACACAGTGTAAGTGAAGCTAGCTCATGGTAGAGTCTTTTGACTTATGTTCTTGGCCACTCTACCCTACCCAGGCCAGATTACATTGACCACTTAGCTTCCTCACCCTACACCCATACATTCAAGCCCAAGCCATCGCTGGAGGGGAGAGGAGCAATTATTCAGTACCGTGTGCGAAAGCCATTTAATGGTGTGGAACTCACACCACTGCACGACCTGGATCCCATGTGTAGTAGTGTTGCAATTCAACAAATTTGAGAGAGAATTTTTAAAGAACATCCGATCCGACGTTGAACACCACTTGAAGGAAAAAAAAAAAAAAAACATAAATTGAACTCCTTTTGGTTTCTCTCCATTTGCAGCATTTTACCTTACTCTGTTAGATCTCTTTTCAATCACTACAGGGTAATATTTCAGTCACCATTGTGCAATCGCACCGATGTTCAAATTAAATATCCCTTCTAAAAAAGAAGGATCTAAATTTACTATTTTGACAACTATAGTCTATATCCACGATCCTTTATCCATATCACGTGAGAGAGTGAGAAGGAATGCTTACCAAAGTGACACTAAAACTACAAATTTGATACTTAAATAATGACAAAATAAATTCCAAGGCATTACAACACAACACATTTAATACTATTACGCCAATACTATAACACCAACAAGTTGAATCAAATATACCTTTACACTCAATAGTATTTTGAGCTATCCTAATTTCTAGCAAGATGCATTTCATCACAATGAGGATTATGAATCAAACCGTAATTTCTAAAACTAACAGCTTGATACTTAACCTATGCAAGAAGAGCCTCTTTAATGAATCTATCAAAGCCATTGAAAGATGATCCCCCAACATCAGTAGCTTCTTCTGCTTTCTTCTTCCATTCCTTAGCTCTTCTCCTCATTTCCTTCCCTTCATCCCCTTCCATCATTTCCCTAACAAGTGCTTCAACTTCTCCGCGCTTCACATCATGATCAATCTCCATTCCAATCCCCCAGTGGATGCATGCATATCGGCAATTCGCTTGTTGGTCAGCAAAGAAAGGCCAACATATCACAGGCACACCTTCACATACGGTCTCCATCATAGAGTTCCACCCACAATGTGTTAAAAAGGCACCAACAGATGGGTGTGCCAACACTTGGGCTTGAGAGCACCAACTCACTAGCAATCCCCTATCCTTCGTCTCCTCCAAAAACTCCTCAAGTAACATTGCTGAATCACCCATCACAATGTCAGGTCTAACAACCCATAAAAATGGGTGCTTGCTGTTCGCAAGCCCCCAAGCAAATTCTCTCAAGTGTTCCCCGGTCATCACCGTAACGCTTCCATAGTTCACATACACGACTGAGTCATGCTCTCTTTGGTCTAGCCATTCAAGGCATCTTGAGTCCTCCTTCCATAAGCTGGAATTGAGTGAATTGACTTGGCTATCATTCACGTGCTTGCATAGCAAGGGAAGTGGTCCGATGGTATAAATGCGAGGGAATTTGGAAACAATTGCCTCTAGCACTTCCTGTTCGAATGCATCAAAAGTGTTGAAGATGATTGCTGGAGCTTTTAAGCAGTTCTGTGCTTCCTCTCCCATGAAGTCAAACATGATTGCGTTAGGGTTAGTGGTTCTAAGATGGCTTGGGAGGTCCTTGAGCCGTATATTTCTCATGCCCGGTATCCAATCAATAGGAGTATCAAGAGTACCATCACTCATGAAGTTCTCATCTGAAGATAAATATTATATACATGAATTGTGAAATTCATCCTTTTGTTTTATGGATAGGTTGAAAAATGTTAAAAAAACAACCTGTAACAACTATAATTTTCTTTAATGGAAAATGGTGAAAAACAGGGCATATACATATATATAAAAAAAAGAAAAGAAAAAAAAAGAAGAGAAACAGATAATATGATAGTAGTAATTAATTAATAAAATTTAAGCATCAAATCATAAGAGAAACTCCAGATCTTGTATGGAGAAATAAAGAATGAAAAAATAAATAGGTAAATATATCATAAAGATGGGAATAACAGAACAATTTTGCTTCAAATAGAAATGAAGATGCTATGTTGAAGGTATATTTTAATTATTAAAAACTTCTGGTAATAGTAAAACTGAAATCTCAATACCTTCTACCCCATTTGCTCACTAACTAAACAAGTTAATGAAATCTTGTCAAGCAATAAACATAGAAAGGATGACCTATGAAGATGAAGTAGCATGCAAGCTCAAGAAACATGATGGTTTATGAAAAACTCAAAACTCAAAACTCAAAACTCAATATCCTTTTACCCAATTTTCTCACTAACCAAACAAGTTATAGAAACCTTGCCAAGAACTAAAAATAGAAAGGACCTATGATGTCTACACTATATGACACTAAATAGCCTGATGAGAAACCAGAAGAACTCAATAAAGTTGGAATGATTTATGAAAAACTCAAAACTCAATAATACCATTTACCCAATTTTCTCACTTACCGAACAACTTATAGAAACCTTGGCAAGAACTAGACATAGAAAGGAGGACCTATATGCTGTAACCACAAAAAACCAAAGCAAACAGGTACCTTTGAAAGGAAAAATGCCTCTTCTGATGAGTTCACGGTAATGGAGGTACCCCATGAAGGAACAAGCCGAAGCAGTCCAGAACTGAACCTCTGGAATCCCCATTTCTTTAGCAGCTTCTATAGCAAAACTCATCACTCCATCCGAGACTATACATGAAACACGAGGCACTTCGGACGTGGAATTTAGCCTATGCAATAGGTCTATGAAAGGAACCAAACAGTTCTTCCGGACGGAATCACACAGGGCTGGGACGTCTTGGGTGGCGTCACGGTCTGATGGTGGAAGTCCATCTGGGATGGTCTCAAACCGGAACCCCGGCAGGCCCTTGACGGAGTCCGAGTCTGGGCCTTTGGACCTAACCAAACGCCTGTGGTTGAACTCAGTGTTGACAAAGGTGACATGGAAGCCTCTCGAATAGAGAAGCTGGGCTAGTAGCATCAAAGGTGTTACATGGCCTTGTGATGGGTATGGAACGCATACTACATGAGGCTTTCTTGTTTCTAGTTCTGCACCCATTTTCCAGCAAAGCAACTCCAAGCAATATACTCTGCAATTAAATTGAATTGAATTCAAGGCCTGTCCAAACTTCCATATCTACATCTGATACTATTATATGGTTTTCCCTAATTTTGAAGCTTCCATATCTTTTTTATTTTTTATATAAAAAAATAACAAAACTTGAAGCGGTGTCACATGCAATAGTGAGCATGGGTTTGAGAACCAGATGGGATGATGATTAATCACTGTTATAGAGTTACTCAAAGTGATGGGTATTAATAGCAACCATTCATTATAGATTTTATTTATTTATTTGATATCAACTACCAAAGCACAAAATATAGTTTGACAGAACTTCTTCATGATTAGATCATCTAATTAAAAAATATTGATGTGATTCCATTTTTTTTTAATCGGCAAATGTTATTTGTTAATTATTAAATTAGCACCTGACGGAGAAAATCTCTTTACTCTTGGCAAAGTATCTAAATCCTTGCATTCCCTTAGTTCAACTCTTCTAAGGGGAGTTAAACCCATAACCTTCTTAGAGACTAAGTTCTAAGTAAGGTATGATGGCCAATTAAGTTAGATCTAGTTAGTTTATTGATGTGATTCCTTGATTGAACAATGTTGATTTTTTTTGTCCAAGGAAACCAATTAATTTGTGACTTCTGTTTGCATAGATTTGGGGGAGAGAGAGAGAGGTGACCACAAAGAGGATTACAGTTTGGCTTTTATTTATAAAGAAAGAAGATATTTTGGAATTGTGGGGTCCTTAGTTGTCACTACTGATTTTGTCATATTGAGGAGTTGTTGTCTTATGGTTTGATACATTTTCCCAAGAAAATAAAGACAACATTTGTTCGTAGAATCTTATAATGTATTGTCCATTAGTGGGCCATGAAACTGAGACTAGAATCTATCAACGGTGAATATTTAACATGGGCCAACTTTCATTTCAACCAAAAAAATTGTCCTCTTTGCTTCATATTTGTAGGCAGGGTCGTAACTAAACAAGTTGAGTAGTTACTGTTTAAAATTTTAAACCATGTTAGAAGTTTTACTTGTTTATCTTTTGAGTCAATTTCTGTTTCTTTGCAAGTTAATCCACTCTAATATATTTGTCTGACTTCTCACAAATCTTGCTTTTCTACCTTCCTCTACTATCAATCTTACCTACTTAGGAGAGTACTAAAGCAGTTTGTGAATGTCTCCAAATACTGAAAAGTCTCACTCAGATAATTCTTGAAGCTCTGAACATAAACACAACCTAACCTTGTAAATGTAAGTCCTATTTGGGATAAATATTTGTAAATCGATTATTTGAAGTACTTTTTTTTTAAAAAACTTGAAAATTTGAAAATATCACTATACAACCAGCATCATCTCTATTGTTACCACCAATCACTCTCGTCATCACCATCACCGCTCCAAAATCCCACCACCGCTCTAGAATCACCACCGCCTTCACCTCTACCACCAAAACACAATCACTGCCGCCACTCCAATATCACCACCACCACCATCACCTCAACCTCTACCACCAATATTGCTGTCACTAGCACACCACCATTATCCCACCGCCATAAAACCGATGCCGCCACCGTCACCACGACAATCATTCCATTACCATCATCACCACCACCCTACCACCTCCTTTGCCACCTTTACCCACCACAATGCAGTCACCATTGCCGCCGCTGCCACATCAATACATACCAATCCACCACCACAATATAAAAAGATGAAAGAGAGAATTAGAAAATTAACTAAACTTCTGGTTCTTGTTCATAACAAACAGTTTGTTTAAATTCCACACTTATATTCAGCTTGCTTCACATTACCAGATCTACAAGACTTCCTTTCCAAACCTTGAATTTCCAAGAATTTTTTCCTCACACCAAGCAAGAAAAATTATGTTTTACCTCATGGAGTCTCACGGACACTTCAAAATCAGTGCCTTGGACACGCCGGGGACACATACGGGACACGCCCTTTAATTTAATGATTTTTTTAGAAGGGGACACGGCGGGGACACGCGTGTCCATTTTGGGACACGCCATGGGACATGGCGGGGCTCAGTTTTAAATTTATTATATTTATTTGGGTCAAAATATAATATTTATAAAGTAAAAAAAAGAAAGAAAAACAAACGTGTAAAAGCCCTAAATCGAACAAAGAAAGAGTGAAGGAAGTCAGTCAGACCTTGCGAAGACCTCTCTCTCTCAGTTGAAGACCCTGTCTCTCTGTTGAAGTCGATCGAAGCCCTCCGATCCACTCGTCTTAGTCTCTGTCTCAATCGATCCACTCGTCTGCCTCAATCTCTGCCTCAGACCACTCGTCTCAGTCTCTGTCTCAGACCTCCGATACAGACGACTTCGAAGGTAAGCCCCTCTCTCTCACACTCGCTCGCTCTCTCTCTCTCTCTCTCTCTTTCTCTTTCTCTTTCTCTTTCGCTCTCTCCGTCTCTCTCTTTCTCTTTCTCTTTCTCTTTCGCTCTCTCTCTCTCTCTCTCTTTTTCGCTTTGCTCTCTGCTCAGCTCAGTGCTCTTGACTGAGTTAGATTTAGATTTTTATTTTTATTTTTATTTTTTAATACGTTTATATATATAAATATATATGTAAGATTTTATTTTATTTTATTTGTAATTATATGTTAATATATACGTATATATAAAACTGTTTTTTTTTTGTTTGTAAAATATGTCAATACATATCTATATAATAAGGCACAAAGCTTTTTGAAAAATGTATCAAAATGTGTGAGATACATTTTGATCCAATGGCTTAAATTACTTCATCTAAATTTCAATGGTTAGGATGTCTTTGAGCATCAACGGTCCAAAATGTAATGGTCCAAAACTCTCCTCTGTGTCACAGGTACTCATCTTCTAATCTGTCAACGGTGAATATTTAACATGGGCCAACTTTCATTTCAACCAAAAAAATTGTCCTCTTTGCTTCATATTTGTAGGCAGGGTCGTAACTAAACAAGTTGAGTAGTTACTGTTTAAAATTTTAAACCATGTTAGAAGTTTTACTTGTTTATCTTTTGAGTCAATTTCTGTTTCTTTGCAAGTTAATCCACTCTAATATATTTGTCTGACAAATCATTCTAATGTTAATGTTAATTTATAATGGTGATAATTTATAGGAAAAATGTCTAGCTCAAATTCTGCCAATAACACACAATATACCTTTGATGCTGAAGATGATAAGCCACTGTGGAAATATGTGACTAGATTAGAAAAATCTGGTGCAAGAGGAGGGAACTATACTTTTCAATGTGCTTATGTGAAGAATATTATTGGATGTTGAATGCTTTCTCCTTATATTTATTATTGGATGTTAAATCTTTTATCTCTCTTATATTTATTGAATTAATGTTACTATGTTAGTGTTTGTTAATTTTGATTTAGGATGAATGTAATATGAATCTACATAACACATAAAAATTAAAAAATAAATAAAAAATTTGCCGTGTCCCCCACCGTGTCCGTGTCTTCATTTTTTGAAAATTTCCGTGTCCCGTGTCCGTGTCCGTGTCCCGTGTCCATGTCCGTGTCCGTGTCCGTGTCCGTGTCTTCATTTTTTGAAAATTGCAGAATGTCTTACCAATTGAGTTCTCAATGTTTAATTATTCAGATTTATTTGAATTTTCCTTGAAGATTATTAAAATCATTGACACAAATTAGTTTAGTGCTATTCACTATTAATCCTTTGTAACTACTTTGACTCTCGCATCACAGTATGAAGAGATATGATTATCTTTGAAGTTTTACTTAATAATCTCTCCAGGACAGTGGATCACAATATAGGCAATTATATTATCATATATACATAGAGAGAGAGAGAGAGCAGGGACTTAATTACATCTTCCTAACAAATCATTCAAATATTTACAATTATGCACCTTGGGAATATGAATGAATGCAAGATACAGGATAGGACCATTCAAATTTATGATTTTTGTCAAATCAAAATATGTTTAGCCTGAAATGCAATGAAAAATTAAATAATGTGGTGACCAGAGTGTGATGCCAAAGGCACAAAGATACCTGCAACCAATGCTCAACAACCCACCAGAATTTTTTTGATAAACAGATTCTCTAAGTGGCTGCGACAACATTCTGAAGCAATGACTCTAAATCTTTTAATCTGCAGGGAGTATATGGACAATTGGTTATGATTGGGATAAATAGAACTAAATACCCATATGTTGAAGGCGAATGGCTACTTTACCTAACATTACTCAAGTCGGGGTAGATTGCTATTGCATCTTTAAAATCCTATATAAATTTAAGACATTAACAAAGTCATGTCATACCACAATTCCTGCTATTGGTTGCAAGCACCATTTAACTATAATGCCCAGTTATTCCCCATACAGTGAGAGAGAGACATTACCTGGTTACTTGTTGATGATGTGTAAGTAATAACACATGACATCCCAGCACTTGTCGCAGCCTGCATAGGTGAGATTATATTAGTCAGTCTGAACATTATCACCCACGCTGCAGATTCTAATGGTTGAAAAAAACAAGCAACGCTGCCCGTGGCTAATATGGACACAAAGAGAATATCTGATGGAAGTGATGAGATAGATATTGGGACAGAAGATATATTTTCTGTTTCAACATTCAATTGCCAAACACGTGGCAGATGGCATGACCATGACAAGACACTGTAACAGTTAAAACAAAAAATTTCATAATATACAATTGAGTTGCTATTCTTACCAGAATTTCATGACGCGAAGATGATTTACAGAATAAATACCAGTTTTTTCGATTGTTCACAATGTGGTCTTAAAACTCTTTGGCCTTAAAATTAAGGTTTTAAGCAATTATCACAAGCAAAGAGATTGACCTGTAGCCCAATGATAGAATCTTCCACCACCAAACATTCTTTCCCCGACAGGCCTAGCTTCTGCAAGGTATAAGATTTAACATTTCTTAATCATATGACAAACTCACAATTGAAAATCATTAGTTTGCATGTACACGCACAAAATACAGAGTATAGATCACACTATGTGGATTACCTTGGCAGCTGTCAAATATATTGAAGGATCAGGCTTCTTTTCTTTGACATCATCACCTACACAAAGAAAATTGAACTGTAAATTTTACTTCTTTGAAAGTAAGAGAAAAAAAAAAAGCCCTCTCTACTTGCTATGAGTTCAATGTGTAAACAATACTTTTGACTATAAAATAAAATATAGTGGAATTGAGCTTGTCGCTAATGGTGGCAGTGGTGGTGGCAATAGTGGAATTGAGCTTAAGGGAGAGGAGAGAGAAAAATAAGGAAAACCAGGAAACAAATACAGAGAAGAGGTGAAGACTGGAGAGAGAAATAGAGTGATGAAAGGAAACACAATGTAATCTAAGAAACACAAACTTCTAAGAAGATATTATGTTCATGTTTGACACCAACACTTGTCTGACACTCCCTGACACACTCAAGAGGAAGCTCAGTGAGCACCAGAACGAACCTTGAATTCTAGCCTTCAATCCAAGTCCTCTAATGGTTTCAAGCGTGATTCACAGGCTCTGTTCCTAGCCCAGATAATAGTGGAATTGTCTTCAAGATGGAGATCTAACTTGGTGGGGTTGTTGGCGAGCTTGGCAATTGAGCCGGTTGATGGCTAGCATTAGCATGAGGGGGTCTGACTTTCTTGGTGGGGTTGCTAGTGAACCAGGTGATCGAGCTAGCCAATCCCAAGCTTGGGTAGGCCAAACAAGGTTGAGCATGATTTGAAACACTCAACTTGGTGATTGGTCCACCAGTCCACTAGCCGGAAGTGACATGTGGCAGGTAAGGCTTGTTGAGGAAGGCATGATGTGATGCTATGGCACAACCGGAGGGTACCACATATCATGGTGGATATACCTATTAACCCAAATAAGATTCACACATGGGTTGGGCTTACCCAAGTAAGGCTAAATAGTCAATAAGTTCTATTATAAGACCATGTGCTAGTCATAAGTCCTTTAACCGCCACCCACAAGAATTAATTGAAAAATTAGGGTCCCATGTGTTGCAACGAAACTGCATAAATTATATTGAAACAACGCTCAAATTATAAGGGTACCGAGTGTAACCCATAATTTTCGTTCTGTGACAAGTAGTGTACGTAACCCATAAATTATTAGCTGCAAAACAAACCTACCTTGCAAGTTTCCCTTTTTTATTCTTTTGGTTGTTCCCTACTTGTCTACCTTAAGTTTTTATAAACAACAATAATCCTTCACAAGGGTTTCATGCTTTTTAAAACTTTATTCCCTTTCTTTAGATTCTGCAAGACATTTTTGATCGGCATAGATTCTACAATATACAAAAGCAATCCATTGACTATTTGGCTTATGGCCATAGTTAATGAACTGTTAGTAACACAAATGCTTGCTGCAATGGTAGAAGCTCGTGCTCAATTGAGCAAATGTGTGTTCAAATTGATGGTGGTACTTCATACCAAAAAAGCCAGAAAGGTTACGTCTACACATGGTCTACCTTGTCCAGAATCCTGAATTGCCTAGACATACATTTCTTAGTGGCATTAAATTCTGCTGTATAGGGCCCATGCTTATTAAAGGTAAGTGTGGAGGCTGAATTTAATCAATGAGGTAGAAAGGCTGAGCAGGCCGGTTGGGATATTAGGCCGAAGACAAGTTGGCCCTACCCGGAGGCCCATGAAGCCGCGTATACGAATCGGCCATATAAAGAGCCGAATGGGAGCCAACACACTCAGCTGGAAGGCCGACTAGATAATTATATGTAAGGTCAAGAGTGGGCCCGACCTTGGGCCCAGGCATAATATAAAAAAGAGGAACATCAGCCAAAAAGGGGGTATGTAAAAAAAAGAACAATAACTTGTGATAGAAGAAAGATTTGAGAGAATACTAACTTGCTCGTCGGAGTGCTAATTCCGACACCCCCAACCGGAGCGTTCATTCCTATTTCAGGTATCAACTCGAGGATCAAGAGCATCTGCTTGGATCATAAAGGGTATTGCCAAACCACTTCACCAAAATTGGTTGTGGGAATACTCAAACATGATCATGGCAGACGCAACAAACGATCCTCCGTTTGTTGTTGATTATGATACACTGAGAGATGATGTTACACCAAGAACTATGCTTGGTCTGAAGAATATCATCGCCTGAAGGGCCCTGAACTTCGACCCAGTGGCCCAAACTTTGCCCTCAACCTCGATGCAAGAAACCATGCAGACGATCATAAATCAAGCAAAACGAAGCAAACAACGTCTGGAAGATATGGCGGCTGATAACGAACGCCTACGAAAGGAGTTGGTTGTTGAGCTAGCCAAATCCTAACAAACAGCACCGCGTCACGACCAAGGACGGTCACCAGAGAAGAAGAAGGATGATTGACGGCATCAGCACCGGAAACGCGATAGTGGCAGTGCCTTTTCCGATTCGTCATCTCAAGAACCCAAGAAAAGGGGGCAAGTCGATGTGTCCAGCTCATCTAAGGGAAGCCCGTATGTACGGCACCGGTGAGAAAAAGGAGATGATGGTTCGGAGGACGAGGATAAACACGATCCTTTCGTATGACGCATTGTTAGGACTACCTTGCCCAAAAAGTTTAAAGCACCAACTTTCACTCTGTATGACGGTAAATCAGACCCTACGGATCACATTCGTCATTATAAACAAGCGATGGCGCTGCATGCTGATGATGAAGCACTCATGTGCCGAATGTTTCCGAGCAACTTGGGACCATTGGCCGTCAGGTAGTATTATAAACTGGAGCCAGCCTCAGTGAAAAGTTTTCATCGGCTTCAAAAATCTTTCAGGGCAAGATTCATTACCAACGAGGTCTAGTCAAAGCAAGCCGACTCTCTCTGGACAATGCAAATTAAACCAGAAGAGACCCTCTAAGAGTATTTGGCATGCTACTGGGAACGTTTCAACTTGGTGGACGATGCCTGTAAAGACTCCATGGCCATCATCGCCTTTAAAATGGGATTACACCCAGATAGCCCTCTTAGAAGCTCATTGACCAGACGACCTCCCAAAACAGTTTGGGCGCTAATGAAGAAAATTGAGGAGTATTGCAAGGTGGAGGATGATGCCCTTCGCGTCAAGGCCGGATAGAAAGTTGTAAAATCAGCGCCACCTGGTTTGGTTCAGCCGATAAGCACCGTTCCACCAAGGAGCCCTGAACCGCGGGGCCGGCAAAACGAGACAATCGGCAGGATTCACGACGATCAAGCGAACAATGTTCACGCCGTTCAAACAAGCAAATATCAAGTGTATAGCAGGTGCCCCAGACGTTCGAACAAAAAGTACACGGAGTTGGCAGAGTCGATTAGCAAGATCTTACCCAAAATCCAGTATTTACCGTTCTTTAAGTGGCCATCCAAAATGATTGGACCCTCTGACACTAGATGCAGGGATAGGCGGTGTGAATATCACAAGGACCATGGCCACGAGACTGACAGCTGTTATGCACTAAAAGACCGTCTGGAGGAGCTGGTGCAAGACGGCCGACTGGCACAGCACGTCCACGAGGGCAATCAACCAAACACGGTAGCTCTACGGTCGGATTCACCTCTGCTTGGCGTGATTCACATATATAGTCTGCTGCCGCCAAATCAGGTGCATACAATCCAATTACAACCCAGCCCGTTAAAGTCGTTCACACCAGCCAAACGGCCTCACAAAACTGGCCAAATTACCTTCGACGACGCCAATCTTGAAAGGGTAACGCTCTCCCACGATGATGCCCTTGTAATTGAGTTGTGCGTAGGCAGATTCGTCGTTGAGCGCATTCTGATTAATCAGGGGAGCACCTCGGAGATCATGTACTACAAGACATTTCTCAAACTCAGCTTCATCGATTCAGACTTGCTATCGGCCGAGTATCCTCTGTTCGGATTCAATGCCAACCCCAAGTACCCTTTAAGCAAGATCACACTGCCAGTACGGGCAGGAGCCAAATCAGTCGACGTGGAGTTTCTGGTCGTCAAACTTCCGTCACCATACAATCTCATCATGGGCAGATCTTGGTTGCATGCAATGCAGGCCGTGCCAAGTACCTACCATCAGTTACTCCGTTTTCCAATGCAGCATGGCATTGAGTAGATTCGAGGTTCTCAAAGATCGGCAAAGGCTTGCTATCTTACCGCTTTGACAAAAAAAACCGAAGGAAGTGGAAGTGAATTCAATTGAAGTTTCAGATCTAGAAAGCCTCGAGGATGTAGGAAAAACCCCCAGTGATAAGGCAACCGAGGACCTTGATCGGATCAACATTAACGGGGAACTTTAAAAGTTCTTCATGATCGGCACTGGATGCAGCTGAGCGACAAGAGCTGGTCTCCTTCTTACTCGGCAACATCGACATATTCACCCGGACATCGTACGAAATGCCGAGAGTGGATCCGAGCGTGGCCCAACACTGCTTGAACATCGACCCAAAAGTTAAACCGACCATTCAGAAGAGTTGACAGTCGGCCGTGGAGCATACTTCAGCCGTTGTCGAGGAGGTTGACAGGTTATTGGAAGCCGGGGCAATTCGAGAGGTTACTTACCCTACGTGGCTGTCCAATACCGTGGTCGTAAAAAAGAAAAGTGGATCTTGGCGTGTTTATGTGGACTTCACGGACTTGAACAGAGCCTGCCCAAAGGATTGTTTTCCCCTTCCCCGAATCGACCAACTAGTAGACGCAACTATGCACCACCAACGCATGAGTTTCTCGAACGCTTACAGGGGTTATCACCAAATTGCAATGCATCCAGAGGACCAAGAAAAGACCGCATTCCTCACCCGCGGGGAACCTATTGCTATAAGGTCATGCCATTCGAACTGAAGAATGCAGGGGCAACGTACCAGAGGCTGGTCACCACTATGTTTAAAGAACAACTCGGCCGCACCATGGAAGTATACATTGACGATATGGTGGTGAAATCCAAGGAAAAACATACTCATCTAGCCAACCTAGCCACGACTTTTGGCATTCTCCGAAAATACAAAATGAAACTCAATGCCTCGAAATGTGCATTTGGCATCAAATCCGACAAGTTTCTCGGCTATATCGTGAACCATCACGGAATAGAGGCCAACCCGAGGCAAATTAC